ATTGTGCACCAGTATGGCTAAATAGTGCACATACAAGCAAAATCGATGTCCAACTAACCAAACATGAGAATAATCACTGGAACAATAAAATCAACGCCAGTGAGATGGCTGCCCTACTCTGAGCAATATCGCTCCACCAGATCTACGCCGTACAGCAGCATTAGTGAGAGAGTACCAGAAATTGTAGCCAACGTACAATTACCAATACATCAAGATATCCCAGATATCTCAAAAGAGCACCAACGATTGAGAGATCTAGAAATCCTCCAATACGATCTGCCCGAAAAATTGGTAATTCCTATGATATACATAGGCAATGGACAACAAGATGGATGCCAACAGTAGAATCGGAACTATATTAAGATATCCACCCCAACTCAGGGTTTCATCGGTATCAAAATCTGCCCCGGTCCATTTGGGCAAGGCTTAATCGTATACGTACCGGACATGGTAAATGTGCTGATTCGCTGTTCAGGTGGGGTCGTGCAGAAAGTCCACAGTGCGATTGCGGAGAATCTAGACAGACCATAAGCCATTGTTGTTTCAGACTGCTTGAATCGTGCCTACCGTGGAAACCTCCAGGACTTTGCGGAATGTTCCCCAGAAGCAATTGAATGGCTATGTAAATTGGACATTAATATTTAGTGTCTTTCATTCTATTTTTACTATTTTTAGTGTTTGAATGAATATATATAATATATATGTGTATATTATTGTAATTGTATTTGTATATTTATCGTACTGTGAAAGTCCATACGCTAAAATAAATAAAACCAGCGGACAACTACCTAATGGTTGGGTCTAACGCACTTTTTGCTCGATGGTATGATTGTGTGCACGAGCAAAAAGATAAAAGAGGGAATCTAATCGTTATGAAAAAGGAGACCAAAAAAGTGGCCTCTGATGGCGGACATATCCGGAAATGCAAAGGCGCTAAATTTAAATTTTCCAACACTTATTAACAATAGCTATAAAAATATTTTTTAGACGAGAAAGTTTTAATTAAATATTAACTATAATAGTCTAAAAAGTGACACAATTGGTAAAAGATTTCCAATATAAATAAAATTTCATGTGACAGTTGGGACACAACAATAACATAACCTAACTAAAATTTGACTTCTTAAACAAGGAAAGAGACTGTCTATCCTTGTCTAAAGTGGCCTCTCAAGATGGCACTTCCTGTCTATCAATATGTTTACCCCCACTACCTTTACCATTCCCTCTTTTGTCTTATTGCTCGATGGATGTGTGACATGGTACAAAGAATGACAGGTATGATATTGCGCAGGCCACTCCCCCTACTGTCGACGTCATAATGAGAGTTGCGGTCATTATAATACATTTGTTTATAATTTGAATTTTATCAATGTTTAAACTTTTTGACGTCTTTAATAAGCTTGTGGAAGATTTTATAGTGTTTTTGTGAGAGTTAAGTTTGATTTGTAGGCATTTTAGTAAAAAATAATTATTATTAAGAATATTATCAACTCTCTATGCGAGTTTTTGAGTGATCGTGGCTTTGTAGGTATACCTACTTTATATGGGCAACAATTTGGTCTTTTAGAAATTGTAAATTAGGTATGTTTAATTATTATTTAGTCAGTATTTAATACTCAACCATACTTATACCCATCTTGTATTTTTTAGGGGGGTTTTTGCTAAAAATTGTTTACAACGTAAACATAAAATGCGTTGTGCAGTATATAGTTGTTTAAGTGATAATCAGACAAAAGGTGCCGATAGATCTGTTAGGTTTTTAAAGTTAAATATTTAATACTCAACCATACTTATCCCCATCTGTATATTTTTTAGGGGGTTTTGCTAAAATTGTTTACAACGTAAACATAAAAATGCGTTTGTGCAGTATATAGTTGTTTAAGTGATAATCAGACAAAAGGGTGCCGATAAATCTGTTAGGTTTTATATTTTTCCCAAGGACTCGGTAGTGGAAAAACTGTGGGTTATTGCTTGTTACCGTAAAGACAAATTTAAATACTAAAACTTCAAGGATTTTTTCCAAACTCTTTAAGCCGGAAGGACTTTAAAAGAAATTTGCAGCATGAATTGCTGCAGTATGAATCAAAGAAAGGACCCAAACTGAAGGGTGATGCGATTCCTTCTCTTCATCTACCAAAATCAAAAAGCTTATCCATAAATCAACTTAAAAGGCAGGAAAGGTTTTCCAAAAGGGAGTCAAACAGGATTGTGGAACAGATAATTACACAATCTAGGTGAACATTATTTTATTCTACATCTTTTGGTAGAAAACACTTTTAAGTATTATGACATAAAAGTAATATCTTAACATTTATTTTTTTGTTCTACAGCTGGAGAATTAGGTGTGGACTCAGTGTTGTCAAGGACTCAAAACTGATTTACCCTGAAATTATAAAATCAGACGGGGTATGTAAAATGTTCTAAAATATGCTGTGATCAGTTTGTCTGAATGAAAACATAATATTCTGAACTTTATGCAATATATATAGTAGATTAAAAATATGATTTTTGTTTTTAGATTAAATATAGATATGGAACCTGCACAAGATCTTGAACTTCAAAAGTTTACGTGTCGAGAACAAAGCCTTACTTCAGCAGGTTAATGAATTAACAGAAATGAAGTCAGGAGTAGATAAGATATTTACCAAAAGACAGCTAAAAAGACTGCAAAGGCCCAAAGTTAGAACAGTATGGGACTACTGAGGACGTCTCCCCAAGGTATTGCCATACATGCAGCTGGACCAAAAGCATATAAATTATTGCTGAAAAAGGGTTATCCATATCCTGCTGTTGCAACTCTTCGCTCATGGACTAAAAAAGTCAAAATTGTTCCAGGCATAATAAAACCTGTTCTAGAAATTTTAAAAAATTCTCACTTATCCGAATCTGCAAAAATATGTGTTGTTTCCTTCGATGAAATGAAGATTCGAAAAACCTATGCATAGGACAAAGCAAATGACCATCTCTTTAAAACTATGTTCAGGTAGCAATGATGAGAGGACTACTGACATCCTGGAAGCAGGCAAATAATTTTTGATTTTGGACAGAAAAATGGAAAAATTAATTCTGTTTGACATAATTAAGGAAGTAGAAGAGGCAGGATTTCATGTCTGTGCTATTGTTAGTGATTTGGGAGGTGTGGTAACAGAGGCCTCTTATAAAACTTAATATTGTTCTGAAGCTATTGTCTTGTGGCATTGTAAATAATTACTATTTATAACTGGGAATAAGCCACAATTAAAGATAAAAATACGTTTAATTGACGTTTCAATTTTCAATTCGGAAATCGTTCTCAAAATACAAACCTTTCGTATTTTGAGAACGATTTCCGAATTGGAAATTGAAACGTCAATAAACGTATTTTTATCTTTAATTGTGGCTTATTCCCAGTTATAAATAGTAATTAACTTATAAAACTTATAAGAAATAATTTTCTTGATAATGGCTTTGTCTTTCGTGAGCGGAAATTAATAAGAACATTATTTTTAAATTACTAAAACTTACTTCTACATCAGATTTAACAATCTCATTTAAGGTAAATGAAGAAATGCTAAATGTACGTAAAGAGCAAAGGCAAAAAGTAAAAGTTAGCAACAAAGTTATTTTCAAATAACACAGCTCAAGCTCTTAATAGGTGTGGAACACTAGGTTTACTTTCAGGACGAAAGTTGGATAGAAAACTGGTCGGTTTTTTTAAATTGTTAAGCTAAATCTAAAAGTTGGTTATGTTTCTGTTCATACTATTTTTTTGTTTTTTAGGTAAATGATTGGTTCGACTGCCTTAACGTTAGGGTACCCTATACAGATTCCCGAAAACGAGTACAAGGCTATGGGTTAAATCTAGACGTTCAAAAATAAGATTATTGACGAGATGTCAGAAGCTATGAAAGCTTTAAAAGTTTAAGGAAAACGATCATTGTTGCCTTTTCAGAAAGATTATGTTATGTTGCTTTTGAAATATTCTAATTAAAACTATTCTTTAGAGCTAATAATTAATATAAATATTATCGTCTTTTTGGCAAAATTTAATTCCGTTGTTATTTTTAGGAATAATTCAAACTAAACAATTCCTTAAAAAAATTATTTGAGGATTTAAAAACTAAATTTAATATAAAATACATCCTTACATACAACTTAAATCAAGATGTACTCGAAAATTTTTTTGGCAATATTAGGAGGGTTGGTGGATTACATGACCATCCCGATGCTGTGGTAATTTATATTATTTTTAATAATTTCAATGGATCTGAGCATCAATTAAAATCAGGCAAAAATTATATACAACAAACTAATTGACGTATCGAAGAACATTGAATGTGATTATAAAATAAACATCTTTTCTTCCGTCTCGAATGTATTTTAGAATTAGGAAATTAACCTAAAACTTAAAGAAGATATAAGAAATAAAAGAAAAATTAATAAACATTGTAACTTAAAACCTTGTGTTTGATTTGTTTTTCCGATTTTAGTGCAGATAATTTATGATAAATTATTTTCTTCTGTTTACGTTTAGACAAAGACTTTTTTCCTCCTCGATACTGGCGCCAAATAAGACAATTCAATCAAAAGCTAGCTCGTAAAATTTACAAAGATTACCTTTCTAGGATTAAAAAGCGAAAAACACAAAAAAACAACACCCAAATTTATTTTACAGAATTATTTTTTTTTTACTGTATTATTATTATTTTCAATCAAAATAATAAAACACCTATATATTAATAAATCTGGAATAGTTCGATACAAAGTCTATTAATCCATTAAAATGATTTTTTTATTGCCAATTAAAATTAATTGTGTTCTGATTGCTAACGTTCTTACAGGAAATATTTAAAATCTCTCTCATTGTGACGTCATGCGCGAACTCGTCTCAATTCTCTCTCGGAGCATCATTACCTGTTATTCTTTGTTACCATGGATGTGTGACGTGTTTCGTAGATATGCGACATGCTGACATCAACTGACATCTGACTGACATGCTGATGTGGCGATGACAGTGACAGAAGCGGTTTTAGGTTATTCGCATATATACACTTCAAAAACAAAACTAAAGTAAATATTATTAATAAAATGTACCTGTGATTTAGTGTTGATAAAATTAGTATTTTTATTAAAAATGGATCCTACAAAATTAGTAGTAGAAACAATTCGGCAAGAAATAACTGAAAACAATTTACAACTCAAAGCCCTAATCCAAGATATTGATGAATGTGTGGGGCCTCTAGTAGAACTACAAGCCTTAAACAGTGCAGGACGTTCAAAAATAAGTACTCTACGAAAATTAATAAGTAAATTTAGTGATTTAGCAACTGAAACTAAAAGTTCAGTTTTACTTAAAGATGTTGCTTTATATAGAGAACAGTTCGCAAATAGTATGGACGCTTTTAAAAAAGCAAATTTAAAATCTATGGCAGCAATAGAACAAGGTACAAAAGAAGAGCTAATCAAGCATACAGCTGAAGATGCAGATGTAAGGCAACGCCAAAAACGCAACAAAGAAAATATGGCTACAATTAGCTCCAATGTTACTGATCAACTGTTATCTATTAGTAGACAATTAGCTGATACAACCCAAAGGAGTGCAAACACATTAGAATCTTTGGTGTATTCTTCAGATAATGTTATAGGGACTCAAGAGGAGCTTAAAGTGACTTCTAGTATAATAGGACAATCTGGAAAACTTTTAGCAAAATATGGACGAAGGGAGTTTACAGACAAGATATTAATGTGTTTTGCTTTTGCATTTTTTATATGTTGTGTTGTTTATATTGTCCAAAAAAGGCTATTTTAAAATATTGCACCCCTGTATAATAGTCTATACTAATCAGTTGTACAGAGCACAAAATATCCTGCAAATTTTTAAATATCTGTTAAAATTGTTCTGAAGCTATTTTCTTGTAGCATTTTAAATTAATTACTATTTAACTGGGAATAATCCACAATTAAAGGTTAAAGTACATTTATTTACATTTTTATTTCCGAAGTGGAAATTGAACCGTCAATAAATATACTTTAACCTTTAATTGTGGCTTATTCCCAGTTAAATAGTAATTAATCTGTTAAAATGTTCAGGTAAAGATTTTTTGGAAATTTGTTAACGATGATAATCAGTATATGTTTATAATTCTAGTATAAGCCTGTACTTCTTATTAAAATACAATGTAATAGTTGTTATTATCTTGACAGTTCACAATTACTTAAGTTGTATTTATATATATTATATTGCTCATATAAATGTTATTTATTTATGTACAAAGAAATTTTTTATGATTTTTATCTTTTATTAGTGATGTGGAGCCATTAAAACAATAATATCTATTTGAAAAGGTAATATTCCCATTGATAGTTTCATTCCTTCAATATTTCTATTAAATTATATAGGGATGATTGTTTTCAAGTAAAGGTACTTGATAGTTTATTTCTTCTCCTAGTTAAATGGTTCAAATATAAAATTTTTACTTTAAAATTTGGTGTATAATCAATACATTTTTATTGAAATGGCATGAACTCATAATATCTTATGTAATTTAATTACATAAGTTTATTTCTTTTCCTAGTTAAATGGTTTAAATCTAAAATTTTTGTTTTAAAATTTGCTGTATATTCAATACATTTTTATTAACATGGCATGAATTCATAATGTCTTATGTAATTTTATTACATAAGACAGGAAATAAAGGTGTTATTTTCTTTTCATTTCAGATGAAATAAAAACATAAATGGCTGTAAGAATCCTCTTTTAATGGTTACTAGAAACTTTTATCTGTTAACACATGGTTTTTGATCTCTAGATTTTCAGTTTAAAAATTCTTTCTCTTACAACATTCATCTTTTTTTCCATGTGGAAGTTCTACAACTTTGATAAAATCTTCATACTTTGCTATACTCTGTGATGAACAAAATCTCTACTCATACCAGACAGCATAATAATGATTATGTTGAACCCAAATATGAGTTTAACATGATTGATATTGACATGACCTAAGATAGCAACTTATGAAGAAATGTAATCCCACATAGGGAGGCAAAGAGAATAATAATGACAATTTTGTATCTCTCCAATATAATACAGTAGAAGCTCTTTATTCATGGGGTATATGTTCCAAAATATGTTGTGAATACAGAAACTGTGAATCTGGAATGGTAATTTATATGGTGTCATAAGGAATACATTCCTAGGTGACAACAATTGATTCATTACATGTTATCTTCAGCTTTAGGTAAATGTTTAAAGAATTTAGTGATTTTCTCTTGCCTTTCAGTTTTTAAAAACTCCTTCAATTTAAACTGATACTTAATTTGGCATTAACAATTTACCTCTTGAAAATAAGAGTTTGTTCCATAGATGTATCAATTTTCATAAAGAAATCACAAAGCTCATTTGCCATTCTTAAACATTCACTACAGGTTTTCAAATCAAGTTTCACATTTGCAATGCTTATTGAAGCCTCTTTTTCAATGGGTTGTGAGTCGGTTTTAGTCAAATCTTTATCTTGCGATTCAAGCAACTAGTGAATGTCAGTTGATTCTATCTATTTTAACTCATCTCATCCTATTCCATTCGCAATTTCGGCAATGTTAGCAGTTAAAATTGAACTTACACAGATTATTTCCCATCTCTCGCAGTCAGAACAGGTTACAGTTTTTTCCAGCATGATTTCAATATGTATGGCTTCAGTTCTTGCAATGATTATTTTATGTCTACGATTCATATTGCTAAGTCAAATTTCGTTCAGCATTCCATAAAGATATATCAGAATCACATTCTGATCACATGTAATAGAGCTTAGAGGCTCTGGCTTAAAGGTTTTGAAGGTTCGTCTAATGTGATAGAGCTTAAAGGCCTGGATTGTTGCTTGGATTATACATTGAGGCAAAACATTTCAGTTTCATCTGATTTTTGAGTCAACGCCAAGTTTAATAAGCAAAAGTAAGAAAATTCCCAGTGGCAGTCAAAATTCCTGTTGAACTAAAGTTTCTCAATATCAAAAGTATATCTGTTCTAACAGCATTCTTCAATTAGGTTTACCAATTGGCACATTGCCCAATGACTAAAACTACCTAAAAAAACTAACGCAAGTAAGTGTAAGTCACTTCCGATTGATCAGTTTGATGAGTCACATTTTAAAAATATATCTTAAGACACTGCTGAAGAAAAAAGGTTGTAATGGTCTAGAAACCATGTAGGTACTGTTTTACATGAGTGTTGTTCAAGAACGCTGTAAATTTTGTAAAAAAATCTATATGTTTTACATACTTTCAAAAAGAATTTGATCAAGTGAAAGACATGCATCTTTTAATAAATTTATATTATAAACAAATAGTTGTAGTTGGAGTAGATGACGATATTACTGACTAAATGCTAATATAATCAGATGTGATCCAGGGATGTGTGTTAGTCATAGTCATCTTTATTGATCCTTTAAGACATTCAAAATAAATGTTTAGGATACGTCACTACAGAATTTAGATAATATAATATTCACAGTGTAAAAAAAATTGACAAAACATAAAATATATAAAATAACATTTTTACAAGTAAAATATGAAGCTACTGCAGGTTGTCCTCAAGATATTCATTTATAGAATAATATGCTTTTCTTAAGAGTAAATCTTTAACATTTTTTTTAATTTAGAGATAAGTGGTATTTCTTTCACAGTTTTTGGCAAATGATTGTATAAGGTCAGTCCCATATATCTGAAGCAATTTTGAAATTTGGATGTTCTGTGTTTAGGAACTCATAAAGATTCAGCACGTCTTGTATTGTAATAGTGATTGTCTGAATTTACTGGAAATGTATTGATTTCCTCTTTGACATAAAGTAAACATTTATAGATATATAGGCAGTAGAAAGTTAAAATTTGATGTTTAATAAAAACTGGTTGACAAGACTGTTGATAATCCAAATTAAAAATTTTACGGATAATTTTTTTTTTGTTGTACATGTGGCTGTAAGCAAGGCTATAATAAACGTTCATTATTGCCGAGATGGGTAGTGTGTTTTTAATTCTAGATATAGCATAAAAAGCTTTATTCAATTTCATGTTCACTGAATTCACTTGCTCTGACCATTTGAGATTACAATGAATGAATACACCCAAAAACTTTGTAGAGTGAGTGGAAGATAACATATTGTTTCTATCATGGATGGTTAAGATATAGTCATATTTAGATGAGTTGTATGAATGAAAATAAATAATTAGCGTCTTGTCAATGTTTAATATTGGTCTGTTGGTATTACACCAGCGTATAAAGCAGTCAACAACAGTCTTCATCGTCATTTTTAATTAAATGACCTACCAGATCACATAAGTGCCCTTATGTGATCTGGTAGGTCATTAATAAAAATTAGGAATAATAATAGTCCCAGCACGGATCCCTGTGGTACTCCTTTATTTGTCGTGTATGGTTCTGAGCTTGATTCTTTCATCTTAACAACACTTTTCCTGTCACTTAAGAAATTTATTATCCATTCTAGAAATATCCCCCTAAAACCAACGTTATATAATTTATTGCGAATAAATGTTATGTCTAAGCAGTCAAAAGCACGTGATAGATCAAAAAATAGTACTGGCACGTGGATTCTACTATCTAATTCATCATAAATACGCTCAAACAAGCTGCATGCAGCCGTAAGTGTTGACTTTTTTTTATCTAAAGGCGTGTTGGGTTGGAGTTAATAAATTGTATTCTTCTATAAAATTTAACATTCTGTTGTATACAACCTTCTCTATTACTTTTGAGATTGTGCTAAGGACAGATACTGGTCTATAATTTGAAATATCATGAGGGTCATTCTTTTTGAAGATTGGAATAACTTTTGTCAGTTTAAATATGGATGGAAATTGGCTGGTTGTTATTGAGTGATTAACTAAATGGGTTAAAGGAATAGTTATATGATCACTTATCAGTTTTATTATTTTTACTGATATGTTATCAATAGCAGTACTAGGCTTATTTTTTAGTTGATCGATTGTATTTTTTATTTCAATTGGAGTTACGGGTAAAAAGAAAAATGTTTTGTTATACATTTTTGAGGTAGTACAAGAAGAAGGTAACGATGTGCCAAAATGAGTTTGAAGATTGTATTCTGTAATTGTAGCAAAATATCTTTATAAATATCAAAATTTAATCTTTTTGATAATCGGCTTATAGCTCTTATGACATTTTTTCTGTCTACATGGATTGCCCTTGAATCTCATGTGTGAAATTAATTTTCACAGACTTTGTTTCATTGGTTGGCCTGCTTAGATTTCTTTTTATCCAGCTGCATAAACTTATCATGATAAAATTTGATAATATGGCTTCTAATTCAGCCTGTTTATTTCTACCTCGGACTCCTTGTCGTTTTGGAGACTCACATGTAATCATCCCTCGGAGACCGGCTTGAAACCCAGAATTACACACATTTCATTCTGAGACACACATTTTGTTTTTCAAAGCGTGCTATTGTTACCTTCAGATCTTCATTTTTGGTTTCTGGAAGGTACACCAGCAAACATTTAACATTTGCATTTAGAATATTGTTCCGCTTTAACAACTATATACTCCGATATTTTTTCAATAAAGTTCGTTGTGGTGTTAAAAGACTCTTGTTTAGTAACTACATGTTAATCCAAAATGCCATCCACGAGTCAGCTTCCTATATAAGGAACATGTGCAGCTTTATCAATAAGTAGGCCTCTTTTATGGGTCATATCTTATTCTCGGACGCCACTAAATACGGGTAGTTCTAGAGGATCTTTATCCCAGTTTTGTAGTTTCCTCCACAATATTTTAAGGTTTTAACATTTTTTGTTTAACAGCATGTGTCGCATCAGTTTTATCTCGATAATTAGTTTGAGAATTTGGTGGTATGATCACCGCGATATTTTTTTTTATAAAAGTAAGCAAACCGTCATCTAATATTGCTTACTTTCCAGATTTTGCGGGGACT